TGGTGGTTTTTGAAACATAGTTACCCTTTTGAGTCATTTTCTCTTATAATCAATGACAAAGTTTAAGGAAACAAATACAATAATTCAGTGTGTATAGTAAAAAAAATGGACGATGTGGTAAAAAATCGAAAATTTTGATTTTCTCTTTTAAGTGTCATAAATCATAGGCCTGTGCATGGGTCGGTTTTGACCTAAAACCGAACCCAAACCGATGATGATCGGTTTCTGAAAATTTGAACCCAAACCGAAACCCAAACCAATGGGTTCGGTTTATCGGTTTTCGGTTTTAACTTTGGTTTCACGGTTCGGTTTCAGTTTTTTAATTCAAACCAAATCTCAAAGTTATTTCTTAATCTTACCTCAACTCACTAACTATATAATGGTGAGGATATGTGATATTTAGATATCCCAAGCGATGTGGGACTCAATCAATGTTAGGGATAATAGAAAGAAAGAGGGTGGCGAAGTTATATAGAAGAGAATAATGGCTGAGTTTCGGTAATGGGACGATGTGGGATGTAGTTAACTCGTTGGCAAAATAAATGGAGAAAAAAGACGCTAACAAGTTTCGAACCTGAGCCAATTCCTTGGCAAAATAAACGGTCAAGTTTCGAACCTGAGCCAATTCCTACAATCACCCAACGTGTTAACCACTAGAGCAACGCATCTGTTTGTGTTTATAACCCAATGACTACGTATATATACATATATAACTCACAGAATACATATAATATATGAAATTCGGTTCGGTTCGGTTTCTATCGGTTTTACCAAACCCAAAAACCGAACCCAAACCGAAAATTTCGGTTTTTGAAAATTCTAAACACAAACCGTCGGTTTATGCTTCGGTTTCGGTTTTGTCGGTTTTTGTCGGTTTTTCGGTTTTCGGGTTCGGTTTTGCTCACCGCTAATAAATCATATAAACAAATGTAGGTTGTAATCACGTGGCATCCTCCATCGATCCTTACCTTACCTCGTAGTGTGCTCCAATCTCCATGCATGGCTATGGCCGCATAACACCACCACCATCCGTTTCATCCTTCAGTTTCCCCAAATTCTCTTGTGTTTCAGGTTCATCGTCCAATGCTTTCTCTTTCAAACATCCTATAAATGGGACTTGTTCCATCTTTCCACCCAAAAAAACCATCCAATCTCCTCCACCTAACCGCTGTAGAAACAAATGTTACGATCAGCATCCCCCCTCAAACCGGAAACCCATCCCAAGCCTCGGCCACCACGCGACCCAGATATGGAAGGTTCCTCCCTCACCGACGATCCTCAGATACGATTGGCGCTCTACATAGCCATGGCCCACGCCGGCGTCGCCTTCGCCCTTCTCCTTCTCTACGGTGTAAGTAAAATCCTCGAATATTATCTCCGGGCATTGCTTTGGGCTGTTATCTGTTCAATCCCTCTTCGAGGAATTCAACAAACCTTAGTTTCATTTTGGACCAGACCCTTGGAATCAGGAATACCAGATACAATTATGGCCGTACCTGCATCCATGTTCAGAGCTTTCATCGGAACCATCATTGAAATCAAAGATCTTTTCTATAAAATAATCGGTCGTCACAAGAGGAGCTTCAATCCTCCGAAGAGGAAACGAAGTGGGTTTTCGATTGTGTTCAGACGATTGGTGTCTTTATGGGTTTTCGTTATGGCGTATGAACAATTTGGTGGACTTGGCGCTACATCTCTGTTAGTATTAGGGTTTATGTTTACGGCCAATTACAATGTCGAATGCATGTCGGTTGTTTCGTCTTTCAAAAGCTATAGCTTCAAACGAACACCTCGCACATCGTTTCTAACAAGAGGAATCTTGAAGAAATTACAAACCATCGTAGCAATCGGATTGATATTGGGAATGATCGTTGGTTCTCTAGTTGCAGCGATGTTTTTCTCATATAAAATCGGAGTTGAAGGGAGAGACGCGGTTTATTCGATCAAACTACGCGTTGAAGAAAGCGATTACGCAGAGAAAATTGGCGTCAAACAATGGATGGCTGAAAACGATGTTAGAGAGATGTTAGCAAAGTACACAACCCAGTTTTATGGAACAGTCTACGAACAGATTGATAGTTTAGCAGCAGAATACAACATGACAGAAATTGTCGATGAAATGAAAAACGTAATGGCAGAAAAATCGACAAATTCTAATGTAACTTCAACTGCACTAACAACACCAAATCCATTCGCAGAAAAGATTCTAAACTTGAGAAGACACGTCAAAAATGGCGAATGGGCTGCAATTTATCCAGAAGTCAATGCTCTCTTCAAAGAAGTACAAATCAGCAGAGAAGATATTATCGAAAAAGCAAAAGAAATTGCTTTTCAAGGAAAAGACATTCTACAAAGAGTTTTAGCCAGTGGTCAATCGATCTTAGGAGGCAGCACTAAGCTTTTGTTCGTGGTTATCGAGTCGATAGTAACCGGAGCAGCCGGTCTTTTTTGTTTTCTTTCACAATCGATGGTTTTCATCTGGGTGTTATACGCTCTCATAACATCGGATTCGAAAGGTGTAACTGAGCATGTTATGTTAATGTTTCCGATCCCAAAGAACGCAAGAACACGATGTGTTGAAGTGTTGGACAAAGCAATTTCCGGCATACTTTTAGCGACGGCGGAGATTGCTTTCTTTCAGGGGTGTTTTACTTGTCTTTTGCTTAGACTTTTCAACATTCATTTCTTGTATGTGTCGACTTTACTTGCAGTCGTGAGCCCTATCTTCCCGTTGCTTCCGTATTGTTTGGCGACAATTCCGGCGATTATACAGTTGGTGATGGAAGGGAAATACGTAGTGGCGATTTTTTTGCCTATTATTCATGTTGTGATGATTGATAATGGTGATAGTGAAATTCTAGAGCATATACCTGGTCATAATCCATATCTTACTGGGCTTAGCATCTTCGGAGGTGCTGCTATTTTTCCATCTGCAGTGGAGGTATATAATGAATAAGAAACACCATGAAAGTATATAATAAGTATGGATACTCGACATGATATCTTTAATGACTTTTTTTGATGTGTGATTGTGTAGGGAGCGATAGTGGGGCCACTGATAACGACGGTTGTGATTGCTCTCAAGGATTTGTATGTAGAATTTGTTTTGGGTGAACGAAAGGGAATCAAAACAGCGTAGGAGGAAGAAGCAGTGAAGTCTTTTGATATTATACGAAGCTTTGCATGAACAACGTTTTTTAGAATGATGATTAATCATGGAAGCTACCAATTCAAGAGGGAATGTGAGTTGGGTGGCGTGAAGTTGATTTTTGTTATTACTGTTGCAGTTTGCAGGCTTGGTTTTTTTGGAAGGACTAGTGTATGTATTTGTAATTATGCATTTATTTATTTTTTCATGTTTGTCATTTTAGATTTTTAGGGAAAACAAGATGTAACATTTGTTCAAAAATCATTATTTAAGATTATGTTATACTATGAGCCAGTCAAATAAGGAAAAGAAAACCATCAAACAGACCAAGGGATTACAGTGATCACTTAAAATTGGAAATTGGATCAAGTACTCATCGATTGTAAGGGTTATCATTAAAATGACCAAAAATAAAATCTATGGATCATGTGAAGGAAGGCTGTCAAGATTGAGATCTTACTTAAGAGTTGCAAGATCGTGATCTAAAGATTGGATCGGAATCGGAAGATCCTAACAAAATAAACTCATATTCAAATTATCTCGTAAGGTCTTGGGTATCACTACTAGAAAAAATATTTTCCTTGACAGACGAATTACAACGTACAACAGTTTTATGACAGACATAAAAATGTATGTCATTAAAGTCTGTCATATTTCATAAAATATAAATGATCTATGACGGACAAAACTATCTGTCATACATTTATGTCGTATGTTAATTTGTTAAATTTTAAATAAAAAAGAAACAATGAGCATTTTAATGTATGAATTGATTTGTTTTTATGAGTTATAGGATATGGAAAAAACATTATATATATATATATATATATATATATATATATAATAGTATATTACTTTAATTCCTAACTATAGAACAATTTACTTCTTGTGTTTCATATTTTGATACATTACTTTGCTTCTTTCTATAATTTGTCCATGTTTTTCGGTTTTTGATATTTTAATCACCTTATTTTGCTCAGTTGCTATAATTTGTCCCTGTTTTATTGTGTTTCGTATTTTGACCAAATTACTTTGCTCGCTTGCCATAATTTGTCCCTGTTTTTTAGTTGTTGATATTTTGATCACCTTATTTTGCTCCGTTGCTATAATTTGTCACTGTTTTATATTGTTTACATTATTTTCACTTTTGGTTCAACCGACACAGATGTCTCACTTCCCTATTTTTCCTCTGTTTTCCACGTTACTCGTTTCTCTCTGATCGATACTCATTTTGTATAACTGGATCAAGTGAGGGTCTACTTTGCTCATTTTATAAATGCAAAATGATTTTAAGGATTTTATAGAAGGAGATCTCATGTAGGGACTGTATTTGTTTAAAAGACTAAACTAAGGAAAATTTTGGGCTTTTAATTGCCCTTGACTTCAACGATCGGGAAAGTAAAGGGGAATACAAACAGACAAGCTTATGAACGATCATAGTGAGCGGGAAAACACGAAGGAAACACGAAAAATGGGAGGGGTTCGATGGTTCTTCAACAATAGGTAGGTTGGGCGTCGTCAGAGGCCATCATCGACGTCTGGCTCGATCGGGGAAGAGAGGAGAGCGAAGGCTCGCAACGGCTAATCTGGAAGCCCTAACCGATCGTGAAGAGGGAGAAGGGACGAAGGCAGTGAGGCCTTTTCTTTCTCGTCTGGCGATTTCAGACCCATCGCACTCGAGTGGGAGCTCCAGTGGTCGACTAGACCGAAGAAGGACGTGGGCAGAAGCAGTGACACTGCTTTGAAGTTGGTAAACAGGAGTGAGAAGCTAGGGAAAAGGAGGTCTTGGTCCTTGGGCCGATCGTGAAGATGAAGAGGCGTTTGGTCGACGGGAAGGAGGACATTTGGCCCGATGGAGCAAGGCAAGCGAAAACAGAAGCTACGATGGGGGTTTTGGCAGTGGTGTTCGATAGAAGAAGAACAACGAAGCTGCGGTGATTCACGAAGAGACAGGTAATTGTATGGGGCTGCTTCTGCACCTCCTTCGTTCTTTCTTTTTCTCTTTTTTTTGTTAATTTTTATGGAAATCGATGGGGTTTTTGGATTGACTTTATTTTTTAACAGTAGTGGATATAACCTAAGTGGGTGTTTGGGTTCCTTGAAATCGACAGGAAGAAGATGAAGAATACATGTGTATGCGTTTGATGTTTGGTTTTAGTTTGACAGGGAAGGAAACAAAAACATGATGTTGTTGTTTCTTTTTGCAGGTATACCCTAGAACAAGAACAAAGTGTTCTTGTGTTCTTGGCTGAAATCGGTGAGAAAGAAAGAATTTTGGATGTTTAGTTTTTGGTATTTGACAGGGAAGATGAAGAACGAAATGATGGATGCAAGTTGTTTTGTTCGATTCTTACAGTTTTAGAATTTCTTTTTTGTGTGGGTTAGTATAAACTGAAATTAGAAGCAACATGTGGGTAAAGTGATTTATTACACTTCAAATAAACGAAAGTGATTTTTTTTCTTACAATTTTAGTATTTCTTGCTTATGTACTTTCTCTCCACTTTCTTTTTATCTTCTTCAGGGATTGATTATTCTGCTTAATCTTTCAGTTGACCTCCTGGCTTAATGCTCATATTACAAAGATCTGGCCCTCTATGTTGATGAGGTCAGTTTTAAATTTTAAACCCCTCTATTCACCATCATTATCGTAATATGCTTATCATGTGTTTTTGGATTGTCTTGTAGGCAACATCTGAGCTTATAAAGGCTAATTTGGAGCAAACTCTTGAACAATACAGACCAATATTGTTGTCCTCTTTGTCATTTTCCAAGTTTACCCTCGGCACGGTGGCCCCTCAGTTTACTGGTTAGGCTAATTGATAGTATTACCATTTACATTTATCCTTTCATAGTAAGAGGATTCCACATAACTTGAATCTTAATTATCAATTCTTTATATTGTTTAGGAGTTTCTAATGTTGAAGATGGAGGTGAAGGAATAACTATGGAGTTGGAAATGAATTGGGATGGAAACCCTAATATAATACTTGATATCAAGACTAGACTAGGAGTTGGGTTGCATGTCCAGGTAATTCAATTTGCCTTGCTGTCAAGGGTTATTATTGGAATTTGGAAAATAATTGGCTTCAACTTTGTTTACTATTCTTTAATCTTAATCTCTTTTGTTGTTCAGGTTAAGAATATTGCATTCACTGGGGGTTTTTAGGTTGATTTTTAAGCAAATAATAAGATGATCATGATCATAAATTTTCTGATTATTGATGGTTAAAATAACCAAATTTGGAGTAATACCTGAAGCTCAGAACTTTTCCATGTGCCGTAGAATTGTTGTTCTTTCTTTTGCAAACAAAGGGCGTAAACTTTGTGATATAAGTACAGATGGAACAACCTGCGAAATGAACTCTGAAACTGGTGAACTGTTAAAAGAAATGAAAATCTAAAAGAAACTTATCTCTTCATTTGTATATTTTTCTGGTGAGTCATCCCAACACATGCTCCTTAAATTGTCTTAACCTTTTTCTTCTAACGTCTGTTTTCTTGTAATGATAGATGATAAAATATTAGCTGCATTAAATACCAAGATCAGAGTTCTCACCTTAGATGATGGAGAAGAACTACTTAAGTTTTCCACAGATTTTGTATGTTCCTACCTTTTGTATGCACATTTTTAAAGTGATTACTGCAGTTCTAATGAATTTTTTTTTTACTTTTATCAGGGTCCTGTGAAGCATACACATATGTTGGATGATACAAACACCATAATTACATATGTATTTGGTGACAAGAATCTGCACATGTGGAAAAATGGATCAAGTCAACAACCATTAGCTACAAGAGACTATGCATCGAGTATAATTATTCCAGCTTGTAAAGTTATGATTGGCATATCAAATGTTGCAAAAGATTTGATTGATCAAGATGTTTCGACTTTTTATCAAAATCCCGATAATACCCTTTACATATAAAAAATGTGTGTGTGTGTTTGTGTGTTTTAGAGTGATATAAAATTACTAAAATACCCTTGGTTAATTTTAGGGTTGGAAGGTTCGGATGCCGGCATAGCATCGTTGTTGGAATCGATGGAATTTTGTTTGAAGTTGTGGGGTTTGGAAGCTTGTGTTTTGGAGGACCTAGCAAAAGTTCTCAATCTGGTGCATATCAGGAAGGATCTTGTGGAAAGTGGTCACGCGTTGCTAAACCATGCTTATCAGAATCAACAATAATACGAAAGGTATGATGGTGGAACTGGAATCCGAGATTCCGACGGAATTGGAATATGTGATTCCATTCCGATGCCAAATAAACGGAGTTTAATTCTATCCGAAGGTGGAACCAGAATCAGTGATTCCGACAGAACCAAAACCTTACAGAAACTTCAAATGAAAACCAAAATTGCAAGAGAACCTTTGACATTATGGTTGGTGTAATGGAATGTATTTTTGTATATGTATGATATTTGATTTTTCATTATTAGACATTAAATGTGTAATTTATTTTGTTTAATATTTGGTAAAAATTTAGAGTATATATATATATATATATATATATATATATATAGATATATATATATATATATATATATATATATAACCATGACATACAAAATATGTCGTAAAACTTTGTCAAAAATCATGTCGTATAGAATGTCATAAATGTCTATCACAATTACAAGAATGTTACAAATTACGACATACAAAGCCAATCGTAAATGTATGTCGAAAACGTGTGTTGTGTATGTATGTCATAATTGTGGGTCATAAAGGTTTGTCGTAAAATTTATGACAGACCAAATGCATGTCATTATCCTTTATGACATGACTTTCAATGACAGACATTTGTTTGTCATGTATAGTCATTTACGACAGACAATGTCCGTCAAGGAAAGCCTTTTCTCTAGTAGTGTATGCAGTATACATCATTTCTTGATGTTGATTAAAATGTCGATATAGAACCAACTTTAACTTTTTAAATATGAATTATAATTTTTGTTAATGCATACTATAAAAATTAGGAAAAAAATATCTCTAATACAAAAAGAAACAAGATCATTATGATCTACAACTTAAGATTTAAGATCTCACAAATGGAATATCATGAGTGTAACATGTCTAATTCTTGATAAGTTGATGAAGTGATGATGATTTATGATACTTCTTACAACTTGCAATGCTCGATTTCAAAGATTTTTTTTTTCATTTTCGACTATATAATAAAACTAGAGGTGGGATCGAATGATGTTAAGATCTTAGAATGATAGTCGGGATCTTAAGATCTCATTATAGATCTTGTTTCATACAAATCCTAATGAGATCGGAATTGCTTTTCGCTTAGGATCTTAAATTTGCAAAACCTTAAGATCAAGACCGAGATCTTAATAACCATGATATCAAGTTTCCCATCTTTATGAAAATTGATTCGTAAATTCTATTGGTATAATCATTTTCCATGAAATCTTCATTTCTCAATAATGGCATATATATATATATATATATATATATATATATATATATATATATATATATATATATAATGAACGAGATTATTCTAGGCCATGTAAACAAATACTAAATTGGATAAATGTAATATATATTATAATTTAGGTAAATTGCATAAAAATCATTATGTTTTTATTTTATTTATTTGATTTTGACATTTCAGTTTTTTTCGTAATGTAAACACTACGTTTCAGATTTGTTGCAAAATTGTCCATTTACATGGTCATTCGATCATTATAGCTGACATGACATAAGATGCTGACATTGCATAATCACATATGCATCCTATGCAACATCAACAGTGGTGATGAGACAATGAATCAAGTATTGAACGAATTAGAGTGTAAATTCAAAGTAGAATTGAAAGATTTGAACACCGATGTAAATATGATCTGTTTGGCTCTATTACGCTTTGCAAATTTTACAGAGTACAATGAATATTCTGTAAAATTTCGTTACTAAGACACTAGTAACCACTCCTATTATAGAAGAAGAAAAGCGTACAAAAAATATACTAGGACTAAAATTAAGCTTCGAATATTATGCCCTAGTAAAATACATTACAAAAATGTTCGAAGACCCTAAATACAAACTTCGACTATTACAACATTTCGACCCTAACAATCTCCCCCTTTGTAATCAAAGTCGAAGTCTTCAGTTTGTAAGTAGAGTAATGGAGTACAACAAAACTCTTCGAACCTCAGTATATCAAGAAATAATTTCTTCATTCCTTCTTGTCTCCTTCATTGTTCTTTTTGCAGTGGTTCAGACGAACAATCAAGTTCGTATATTGAGATGTAGAATATCTCTCCACTTCGCTAGCTTGGAAAAAAAACCGCTTCGCTTTTCCAGCTTTATCCTTTCCAGCAAAAACTATTCCAAATGACTTTAAAAACATATTTCTCCATCAGCATATTTCTTTAAACTCAGTCTGAGTCAACGAAGGAGCCATTGGAACTTTTACTTCCTTCCCTTTGCAGTAGCCAACTCAACATCAGTCAGTGCTAGACACTCATAATAATGCTCAATGGAGATTTTGATGTGAGCAACTCCAAGTTTGAAATTCCTCTGGATCTGTGTTTTTGCAGAGAAGAAAAGGATTTGTCTTCAGAGAAGCAATGCCACTTGTATAAGGTCAGACAAGTTCATCAGAGGAAAAATCTGGCAATAGTGAATTCGCATGGTTTTCCATTTGCCCTGGCCACAACATATTTAACATTTGTGAACAATGTTTTTCAAAGACCACATCCTTTTTCATGCTTATCACCTTCTTGATCTGATCATGTGACCAAACATCCTCAGGAGCTTTGCCAGTACTGCATGAAAATGAATTTCATATGAGTCCCTTCATCTTTTTCTTTGAAATCCCTTCAGCTTTGAACTGAGGCATGATGAACACATCATCTCATTTATAGGGAAATCCAACTGGCATGCATCAGTGTTTGTAACCACATAACTCTGTTTGGGCTTCTTATCAAATGAGTACATGTGATTAATAAAAGCAACCAAGGCTTCGATTGTTTCATAGTTGTAATGTTTGGCTGGATCACCTTTATTCATGCCCTTTCGGATCACCAGTCCTCTGAGTCATGATGCTTTGTGAATAAGCCTCATTTTCTCGAGTTCACTTCAGCTTCAGCCTTCTTTTCTCTTCTTTAGATTTTTCAAACCAGAATTGATTTTCCTTTGTCTTTCGAAGCAGATTTTTCAGTTACGTCTTTTTAGCTTCGAACCACTTCCACCAGATTCCAAAGGGTTACCAATTACAAGTTCCTTTCGAAATTGGTCTTGTAATTGGTAATGTTGTTACGATTGTTGAGGTCACTGGTTGACAGACACAATTACTGGTTTTGTTGAAGGGATGCTAGATGGAAATACCTTGCCCACCACTTTCGCTTCTTCTTCTGTTGACTTCCTTTCTCCCCCTTGCACCCATGTGAAAACAGGAGGGGCAGTAGTTGTGGGAAGAAGCTGGATATGCGAAATAGTGGGAGCAAGTGGCTTGTTAAGTATGGCTTCGAACTGCACAAACTTCTGGGATAAAAATTCTGGAGTAATCAACGGTGACGAAACCGGTTTCGTTGAGATCTCCTCAACTCCTTTAACACTTGATCACTCCTTCAAAATTTTCACTTTCAGACTTGGAGATTTGAGTTATTTGAGGACTCAAACCTTCGTATATAGCTGGGACAAATCGAGTGACAGCACACAAATGATATCGACCTTCTGATTCAAGGACGCATAATCATGTGGCCAGATAGAATTTCCTTTTTCATGGTCTTCACGAAGTTCGTGAATTTGGGAGTTAACAATCCTCCCCTCACTTTCTTGACTTCTTGAACAAAAGAACATGTGCGTTCTTTTGTTATGCTTCGCAGATCCTTAACTTCCCCTAAAATAGATCTGAGAGTTTTAAACACGAAGCTCAGAATTCTTGATCTGTGTAATCAACTTTTCTAAAATAACAGACTCTGAGGCTTTCATCATGTCCAGAAACTTTATTGATTACTCTTGATTCAAACATCTTGAGCATAGAATCAACCTCCACTTGAAATAGATGAACCTCCGCCAAGATCAGCTTGGGATTGAATGATGGACTTCAACTTTTGATTAAGAATTGTATTGCTTTCATTGTCATTAAACAATGATCAGGAAATTCTTCTTTTCATCATGAAACTCTAGGTCTTCGAAAGTTCCACCAAACCCTTCATTATCAGTTTCAGTGGGTGAAGATGGTTTGGGTGTATCAGTGGATTGAGAGGAAAAATTGGAAAGTAATTGGTTGATTGATGATATGTTCAAAGGTTTGGGAGACAGTGGTTGATGTGAGAGAATTAGATTTGGTGTAACAGAAACCAATGATTCGAAAAGGAGTAGAGATAATTGAACCTTGATCTGCATCTTTTTGAACCACCTTCACCATGTTGACATTTGCTCCGTATCAGATACTGTGCAGGGATTGCCTGAAGTTCGAACCTCCTCAAAAAATTGACTTGGCAATCGAACTCGGGTGGTATGATAACAGTCTTCTCAGGAATGGAACGTGTAATGATAGAAGTGAACTCTGGAGTTTCTGGTATTCGTTCATCCTCTTCTGTAGACTCAGTAGATAAAATAATCTTTCGAGTCTTCTTCGTCTTCTTCTTTTTCGGTTGTGACAAGTGTTTTGCCATATCTTCTGCTGCTCTTTTTCTTGGATCCGGGAGAAACAGGAACAGGTACCTCACACGAATTAAAACTCCTTGGTGAGTAATTTGAGGCTTGCGAATCAACTTCTGTGATGGTGACTTTCGTTGTGAGTGGATTTCATCTTGATTCTTCGAAACATCCCTGTTTTCGAAGGAATAATCACGTTCTCTTGAGTCTCTTCCACTATGGCTCAATCACTTGTGTTGCTTCAACTGTCACTGCAACATTTTCTGTCTTCTTCTTCTTTGGAGATTTAGAGGATGTTGAACCCTTCGTTTTCTTTTCAGGTGAAGCAGGATCAGCTTTCTTTCTTCGACTTTTTGGTCTTCTTTTCTTCGCGTGGCAACAAATTCCCGTAGGAATAGAAGAATCGAATGTTTTCAGATATGCAATCAAAACAGGATTCGTAGGATCCACCCTTTTAAGCATCGCGTCGGAATCCGAGCAACGTTTGAAAATTCATCATCATGTCAACAACTTCCTTCGGAAAGTGATAAGATTGAAAAGTAACCTTCTCTTCTTCATTTGAAACCAAGATGCCTTCCTTGTTGTAAAAATGTTGCAGAATTAGACTCCAGTACCTAGCACACGAAATGCCATGAACAACATTCGTATGTTCTACTCCTTTTGGAATTCCTTCCATAGCTGTGTAGAGTAGTCTGCTGGAAGATCATAGTATAAACCAGCCACCATGGCATAAACATCCATCCTTCCTTTATCTAATCCAACTGTTCTTCCGGTTAAACAACGCAAAAATATCCCAAACAAAAATTCCATACTTTTGGAAGACCAGACTTCT